AAGGGAACAAAGCCCTTGGACTAGGCTTCTCATTACACAGGAAACCCAAAGCCCTGTGCTTCGTCATGCTAGAATCTCAGGCCTCTTCCCAGAACATAGTGATGTCCAAATTTTACATTGCAACCACTGATGGGAAGGAGATGACAGTAGAAACAAGTCGTGTCCTCACTGCTTGATAGATCTCATGTGTCCGTGATGGGTCAGGTGACTTTGTAAAGCAGCCCACAGAGAATCCAGAGTCATGTAATTTTACAATTGGAAGAAACCATAGAAATAACTGAATCCAGTGTTTTTTCAGTGAGGCTAATTGAAAATAACCATTATTATATTAACCAACATTTATTGAGTACTTAGTTTAGTTGTATGAGCCTAATTCTATGTGAAAGATATTCTTTTTGTCACTATTTTACTAAGGGGACTGTGGTACAGAAAAGATGATATCTTGCACAAGACTACATAGATCCCAACTGGAGCTGGGATTTGAAACTAGACAGTCTAATTCCCAAGTCTATATTTGTTTTTATCCTTCCAATCTCCTCTTTTACAATTTACTAACCTCCCGTAAACACCAACCCTGAGATCTCACATCACTTTGCAAGTAATAACCACATTCCACCTCAGCCACTTCCTATTCGGCCTTGGCAAGTATAATTGATGTATCCAAATTTCATATAACTAACTCATAGGTTTGTTGAGAGCATTAACTTAGGACATATAAAACACTTAGTATAGCAATAAATGTAAGGTTCTATAATTATTGGTAGTAGCAGTAGCAGCTAATCAAAACCTAACTGATACTTTCCTCCAGCAAAAAACTCTCAGGCTTGAACGACATATTTTTAGCCTGAATTTCTGGTTGAGGTATATTATGATATATAAATACCAAGTTTTATTGATAACTTCAAAGATATAGAAAATCCTTGGCTTAGGCCAATGGTTTCCAGTCCTTCCTTCCCATATCAGACATCGATTTTCTTCCCCTTAATAATAATTGGAGTTTCTAATGAAGTTGCAGGTCACCTCAAACAGTAAAAAGAGCATTTAAGTTATGAAATATATCCATTTTATACCTCCTCAAACCATAAGCCCACAGATTATAGGTTTATTTCAAGTAATACTCTAGACAAGGACATCCTGCTAAGGGCATTCTGTAAGGTATCTTTCACATAGCAGAAATCATTATTTATCTGAAGTCCAGTTGACAAGGAGATTGAATAGTCACCTGTCTTCTTTTCTCCTCCCCCCACCAGCCTCTGATGGCGGGGAGGTGCTCCCCACAAAGCAAATGAATTGGTTACACACCTACTATTTTTTTTTTTTTTTGGATAAGGACTTGGATTTTTTTTTTAACTTCTCTACATTGTAGTCGATTTTTGTGACCCTTTGCCCATTTCTCTTCCCCCACTCCCTCTCCCCCCTCCCCCCCCCCACATCATATCTGTTCACTTGGCTTAACAAGTTCAAGGAATTGTTATGATTGTTTTAACTTCTTCCTCCTAGGTGCATTTTTTAAATATTAAGAACAACTACACCAGACCCTGTAGTTCAGTCTGTGTCTTACATATGCCTTTATAGTGTAGCTCATAATTACAAACATCTCATCCTCTGGTATGATTCCAAAGTTATTTTGTTGCTAAATTATTTGCTTCCAACATACAGTCTTTCTTGACCGATTCAAACTCAAGTCTTGTATTATTTACTAGTAGTTGCCATTTTAATTGTCTCCAAACATTGGAATAACCATTACTTGAACTTTTCTAGTACTTTCAAGTATAACATAAAGACATAGATAAAGCAATTTTTTAAAATGTATGTAGGTAGGGAGATAAACAGATTTCTTAGAATAGGTTTCATTCCACTAATTTGTGCCCCCATTGCAATATATTGCAGTTCCCTGATTAATAGCTTGTCCTTTGTAGACAGTAAGCATCAAAAGTGTGTTTGGCCACTTAAGGCACCAATAAGTCTACTAGTAAAGCATTAAAGAAACTGTTTCTGTTTTGTTTACCTCTCTCTATCCAAAATATAGCATAGTTCCTGGCATAAAAATGATTGAATATTCCTTCAAGCACCAGTTATTAAAAAAAACTCAGTTATGGCATTTGTTTGTTTTATGTTGTTATCTTATCACTAGTCTCCACAAACATGGAGGTTATCAGCAGGAATGTGTAGTGCTGCAAATTCATTACAAATAGAAGATATTGTAATACCTAGAATTTGCTACATATTGTGTTTTCTCTCCAAATATAATAATAATTTTCTTAGAAAGTTTCTGATCACATTCCACAAGGTCAGACATTTGTACATCCAAACATACAGCATCCAGCTCAAAGAAAGGGTCTTGTTTCAAATGAAAAGCTACTTGCTCCCTTATTTAGATGTTTTCCAATTTATTTTTGTTCACATTTTATTAAACAGGCCAAAGAATCCACCAAAAATGGAAGTGGAAGCCCACAATACACTTGCACTTCAATCACTTATAAAGCAGAGTTATCAATTAAAGATAAACAGTAATAAGAAATTTGCTCAGTTTTAAAATAAGAAGAGACTCTGCTAGTATGGTCTTCCCAGTTCACAAGATGAGTCCCTTTCTACTTCCCTTCTCTAAGTTTTTGCCTTCCCTATGATTTTTTTTAATCTTTCTTTTGTAAGATGCTGGTTTTTAAATTGCCCTTTGTTTGTATATACAAATACCATGAGGTTTAGAAACAGATAATTCATGGCCATAATGTGGTTATATTGCATTGGGAGCAGGGCAGAGGCTTTCTGTGTTTCTCAGTTGAGTTTGATTTGCCTTTCTATTGGTGGGACAATTCCATTTTGAATTTTGCATGTTTTTTATGGTTGAAAAAGTAGATTTCCATTCGGAGGGCAGTTGGTAAAGTTGATTCTGGGATCCTGACAGCATTATTGTGAAAACAGGTGAATTTTCCTAAATGATTCACAGGTCTGGGAATTTAAGATCATTGTTTAAATTCCTCTATGTTTTGCTGCTGTCCATTAATTATCCTGAGCATTGTCACAGATGGAAAGTTTAAGTAACTTTCATAGTTCCAGGTATAAATATGATTGAATATTCTCTCAAGTACCACTTATTGAAAAAAAGCCAACTATAGCATTTGTTTGTTTTATGCTATCACTAGTTTCCGCAGGCATAGAGACCATCAGCAGGAATGTGTAGTGCTGCAAATTAATTACAGATAGAAGATATCATAATGCAGTTCTTAGAAACAGTTAACATTGTTCTTACTGAAGTGGAGCATCATTGAGTCATTAAAGAATAAATGATTTACCACGGAAATTGATTTTTAGCAGGTACTATTTTGTTTTATTGCAAGGCCCACAATCATATATACAATGCATAATTATCTTCTAAAAATACAAGATATAAATAATATACATTATAGTAAAGAGTATATGAATATATACTTTTGTTTCAGAGAAGAAAGTTGCCTTGGGTGAGTAGATTTATGCTCTTTTTGGATGGGATTTTCATCTTTATGCTGAATCATCCAAAAAACTCTCAGTTGGAAAATAAATCTCGAATGCACATACAACCTTGTCACAGTTTTCTCCTAAAAATGCTCTAATTTAAAGCCAGCCAATGTATTCCTTTTATTCCAGTTATTCATCTTATTATGTCCCATTACTAGATGAAACACCTATAAATTGTCTGGTAATAGTTATACAAGTTTATGAACTTTTATTTCTCAGTAATATATCACAAAATAGAACCATTTTCTTAAGATATATGTGAATATTCCTTGATGTTTTTCCAAACTATTTTTATGAACTATGCTTTCTTTTTAGTATTAAGCCTGGAGTTTTACCTTAAGCCATAGGGGCCACTCCTATATCCTAAGTAGTCTGCGACACAGAGCGTTTAGAGGTCTCATCCTCCCTGCTGCCTCCTGCGTGGCTGGTTCATTTCTCTGAGTCTTCTCCAACCCCTCATTAGGTCCTGTCTTCCAGAAGTTGTTACCAGGGTGAGAAGAGAGAGATTATGTAGAGTCAACCTCAAGGTTAGACACAGCAGAGAGTACCCTCCTTGTTGAGGTGGGAGATGTCTGAGAACAGAGGGGCTTGGGCAAATGCACAGTCTGCAATGATGGATGCATGGCAATATGATCACAGCAGGACACACACAGGCACTCCCACACGCATGCACGCACACACACGTGTGTGCCCACACACATTTTGGCAAGAAAACACATTTGTGTAAGTGGATTTTCCTACTATATGTGATTTACTTTATTATTCCTATAAAGAAGTGCCATAAAATAACATTCCCATCTTCTCTCCTCTCTCAGTTTGGGGAAGTCGGTATTAGTAATCAAGAAGCTTGGAACATCCTTCGTGGGCTCTCGAGCTACCTCGCTCTCACTTCTGAAGAGATGCAGTATACTCAGGCAACCATCCAGACTCCAGCAATGACAACTAAAGCTATGAGAGCATGTACAGTGCTAATTTGAAGAGAACATGCTACTATAATTATATCTCTGTTGTATTTTTTCACTGGGTAAGAATCTACCAA